CCTTTAAATTCCAACTGTTCCCTAGAATATGCCAAAAGAGTATCTACAGTGAAATATTCGTTTTTTTCATTAAGTTGCCAAATTTGTCGTTGCAGGTCTTTCCGAAACATATAATTTGCAAATAAATCCGTTGGTTTTCGCTAGCCAGATAGTGATGTTTTTAAATTTTGGTTCCCTGTTGATAAAATTTTCGCCACAGTTGATGTTCCCACCACGTTGTTTCTTGTTTCGCGTGCTCTACAAACATTGATGATACAAAATGTGTAGTTCAGTGTACCATGTGTTTGAACTCTTATCATAATAAGTGTGTGAACATTGATCTGAGGGGATTCCACATGAAGAGATCGATTTGGAAATGTAATCATTGCGTTGATGCTTCCCAAGGAGCTATCCCCAAAAGGTTTCGTTTTGAAAGTGAAAATGATACTAGCAATTGCAATCGCGATGATATTATGCTACTTGTGCATAGTTTAATTGATTCAGTCAATGGATTAAAAGAAGATGTGAAAATATTGTTATCAATGAATAAAAATCTCAGAGACGAAATAAAAAGTCTGAAAAAACACAATCAGGAGGTGAGCGCACCTGCAACTGTTTTTCCTAAGTCTTTTTCGGAGGTCATTGAATTCAACAACGTTCAGAACAATAACTGTGGAACCATTGCAAAAAGACGGTTAGTTCTAACTCTTTTAATAATTTTAATTTCGAGCTCCCTAAAAATTCTTTGTCTTCATCCAATATACAAGCTGCCAAACATGCATCAAAATCGAGTAAGCAGTTAGACACAGCAACCACTCCCTATGTCCCAGCTTCTAAAATAACTGTTGAAGCTAATGCCCTTAAAGCGGACGATGATTTTGTACCAGTCTCATATAAGAAAAAAAGAAATATTATTCGAGGGTCGATACACAGTTCAAACTTGGTAATTAAAGCTGCACCCCGTAGTAGTTATATTTATGTTGGAAATCTTGATGTTGGTACTTCGGAGACTGATTTGTCTACTTATTTAGAGAACAAACTTTGTTGTGACAATTTCAAAGTTGAATCATTACCAAAAAGGGAGAATGCCAAGAGCATTGCATACAAGGTCACCGTGGATAGTAGTATTGTCAAGAATTTAATGGATGCTAGTGCTTGGCCAGAGAACGTTATTGTCAAAAAATTTTATTTTTTAGCAAAAAAAGGAGAGAGACTAGACCTAAAAGAAAAGAAAGAAAAGTCGATAAGCCCAGCAAATTAGAGGATGGTACGTTCTCTGTGTATTACCAAAATGTACGCAGCTTACGCAGTAAAATAAAGGACTTTAACTGTGGGGCATTAGCAAATGAGTATGACGCTATAGCTTTAACAGAAACCTGGTTATCATCTGATTTTCACAATAACGAAATTTTATATCCTAGATACTTGATATTTAGAACCGATAGGAGTAGTCTTAACAGCACAAAGGAATTAGGAGGCGGTGTAATCTTAGCGGTAAGCGCTAAATATAAGTGTATCCAGTTAACCTCTCCTATATCATCAGTCGAAGAAGTGTGGGTAAAAGTGCTTACGGGAGTGCGTGATCTAATACTGGGATGCGTTTACATACCTCCACGAAGTGAAATTTGTAGGTATACTAATCACATTCATACCCTTAAATCTATATGTGAGAAGCACAAAGATTGTGACATCGTGGTGCTCGGTGATTTTAATCTACCAAATATTAGCTGGATAACATCTGAAAACTCACCTGGTCTGATTCCGCATAGGTTAACTCTCCAAAGTGAGATATATCTTTGTGACAGCTATTTCAGTCTTTGTTTTGACCAATTAAATAATATTAGAAATTTACATAATCATATTTTAGATCTTTGTTTTGTTAATTGTGACAATGTTGAAGTTAAATGCTGTGAAAATTTAACTAAACTTGATATATGCCATCCCACTTTTAGTGTTAATATCAGCATCTTAGATAATAGCGCCATCTTTAATGATAAAGTGTGGTATTATGATTTTAAAAATGCCAGATATGATAGTATTGTTGAATATTTCAAAAATATCAACTGGGCAGATCTTTTCAACTGCCAATTGCTTGATGAATCAATTTGTAAATTTTATGAACTTATGTATGTCGCCATTGATATGTATGTTCCACTTAGATGTAAACGTTCCTCAACCTTTCCATCCTGGTTTAACAGCGAACTAATAGAGCTATTAAGACATAAAAAGATTGCTCATAAGCGGTATAAAAACACGCGAAGTATCGAAGATTACTTAGAATTCTCTAATTTACGCAAACAGTGTAAATACAAAATTTCTGAGGCATATGATAGGTACCTATGTCATATTGAACATGACCTATTAATTAATCCAAAAAATTTTTGGCAATTTATTCGAAATAAATCTTCTAAGGCATCCATCACACTTCCTATGACTTATAATGATACACTTTTGTCAGATTTACAACAGGTTGTTGATGCTTTTGCTGTTTATTTCTCATGCATATATAATAAAGCTAGTTGTCCCAATTCAAACTTTCATTCTGAAATTAAAATTAATACAAATTTTATTGACATCAGTGTGGAAGATGTTGATCGTTGTTTAAGTGCTGTTAATACAAACAAGGGGCCTGGTCCGGACGGAATACCTCCATTATTCTACAAAAAGACTCAATCAATTATAGCTTGGCCATTACAGTTACTGTTTAGCAAATCTTTAAATCAGGGTATTTTTCCTAGTAAATGGAAGCACACTTTTATCATACCTATTTTCAAATCAGGTGCTACCAGCAAAGTTGACAATTATCGTCCAATAACTATTTTATCTGTTGTAAGTAAAATATTTGAATCTTGCTTGATCACAAAACTAACACCTATCTTTAATTCTTTAATTATTCCTGAACAGCATGGTTTTTATAAACAACGTTCAACAGTTACTAACTTATTCAGCTACGTCAACCTCATTTTAACAGCGTTAGGTAGAGGTTCCGAGGTTCACTCAATATATATGGACTTTTCTAAAGCATTTGATAAAGTGAACCATTCCATCCTTATTCATAAATTGGAAGAGTACGGTGTATCAGGGTCCCTACTTACATGGTTTATCTCGTATATTTCCAATAGATCGCAACAGGTTAAGATAGCCAATTGTCTGTCACATATGGTGAATGTAACCTCGGGAGTTCCCCAAGGGTCAATTCTGGGGCCCTTATTATTTTTGATATTTGTTAATGACATAGGATACAAATTTGAAAGTCCTTATCGTCTATTCGCTGATGATTTAAAAATTTTTAGAATTATAAATTCTAGAAATGACGTTACAACTTTACAACGAGATCTTGGTCATCTGGAAGAGTGGTGTGTTTCTAATAATATGTTTCTAAATGAAGATAAATGTCACGCAATAAACTATAGTAGGAAAATTGTATCATGCAAGGTTAAATACATTTTAAATGGCCAAATACTTAACTTTGCTTCTGAAGTTAGAGACTTAGGTATCACTTTGGACTCGAAGTTGACATTTATACCACATTACGAAAAAATTGTGTGTAGAGCTAATAAAATCTTAGGGTGTGTAACAAGATACGGTAGTGAATTCAAAAATTTACAAACAATAAAAACTTTGTATGTTACACTAGTTAGATCGGTAACGGAGTATGGATGTATACTTTGGTCACCTCAATATAAAATCCATATCGACAGATTAGAGGCGATACAACGAAAATTTCTTAATTGTGTTAAGCATAAATTGCCTAACAATTTACAAATAGACTTCAATTACAATTTAAGTTTGAGCTATCTTGGAATGACAACATTATGTACTAGACGAAAATACTTTCAACTTTGCTTTGTTTTTAGAGTCATGAACAATCTTTTGGACTGTAACGAAATTCTGCATTCCCTATTTTTTTATGTTCCGCAGTTTGCTGTGAGGAGAAGTCCATTGTTTAGTATAGAAAGCTGTAGGAGAAACTATATTTTAAATTCTCCATTGAATACAGCACTCTGTACTTGCAATGAGTTCTCTGATTCATTGGATTTTTTTAATTGTCAATCTTATGCTGTTTTTAAAAATCGTGTCCATCATTTACTGTGTTCTTAAAGTTACTGTAAATGTAATCTGTATCATTATTATTGTAAATGGGATACTTACTTGCCCGTGAATATAGATTATCATTATTATTAAGAAGTATTACTGATGCTATTAATGGTTACATCAACCGCAAAAAAATTATTTATTTAGGTCTTCTAAATCGGTTTTAAGAATCAAATTATTTTATTATCGACATTAGGTTTTGTGGTGTGCTAATATCTGCATCAAAGAATGTTATATCCAGTTTTAGTTTTAGTTTTATTTCATGTACATCTTAAATTTTTAGTTATAAGTTATTTAATGAATTGCTTTCTTGTTTTATGTAATAGGAGTTTCTTTTCCGTTAATAAACTATTATTATTATTATAAGAAAAAAATTAGAAAATATTTTACAGCTTATTTTTACATAACAGAAAATGTGTTCGAGATCCTCATAGTCACTTCTTCGAAAGAAATATCGGGCCTGCCTTTTCGAAACTGCAAAAAACATCTTTTTATTGCAATTTTTTGTTGCAGTAAAACTATTTTAGGCATTTTCTTTTTAAACAACGTCGCAATGATATGTCAATCTGTCACAATGACAAATTATCTATGCTGACAAAATTAAAACATTTGTTTACTTGATTAAAAAATTGCGTCTAATATAATTCTTAAAGAAAAAATATCAAAGTCCACTTTACTATATAAAGATCGTGAATGGATAATAATTAAACATGCGATTTAAGTTGAAGTTCTTCGATGAGGAGGTGAGTAAAAGAGTAAAGAAATTACTTTAAAGCAAAATGTATAAGTATAACCAAAATTTCAAAAATTGAATAAATCACATTACGAAAAACAGTGCCAAGGCCGAACACCGAATCACAATCAATGGAATGCAGTTTAATCAAGTTTGGACGATGCATGATTATAATTTTTCATAAAAACTTGCTCCCGGATAAAAGCTGGTCGTACTACATAGATATATTACTTTAATGCAATTAGTAGCACGTCGACTGCTTAAAATTAACTATGTTTTGTTTAACGTGTGTGATTCTGGCTATATCTGTGTACATTTATATGCGTTTATCACGTGGTATCACCAGAAGTGCAACATGTCTTGTTGGCAAAACTGCCATCGTGACGGGCGCCAATTCAGGTCAGTAGAATTAAATGTCATTTCGCTTAATAAATGTGATTAAGGGATTGGCTATCACACCGTCCTGAATTTGGCTTCAAGAGGGTGCAGGGTGATTATGGCCGACGTAGCTGACATGACACAGTCAAAAGAAAAAATCATCGAGTACACCAACAACCCCAACATTGTGACTAAATTCGTGGATCTGGCGTCTCTTCAATCAGTAAGAGATTTCGCCTCCGATATCATAAAAACTGAAGACAGACTGGACATTTTGATTAACAACGCTGGAATTGGTCCATCCAGAGACAACAGAACTAAAGACGGTCTTCATCCTGTTATGCAGATCAACTATTTTGCTCCATTTCTACTGATTCATCTGCTTCTAGGTACCAGAGAACTCATTGATGCGAAAATTTTGTGAAATCGACGTGAATTTTATTTTTAGATTTGTTGAAGAAGTCTGCACCAAGTAGAATAGTTAACACGAGCTCCTGTTTTGCTTTTTTGAATACCTTGTCTGTGAAGAATTTAAATTTCGATGACAAGTATGGCAGATTTATAGATAAGTTTCTTAGTTACGCAAATTCGAAGTTTGCTCTGATAATAGCTTCTGATATTTATGCCGAGAGATTGAGAGGTACTGGTGTTACATGCAATACGATTCATCCAGGATTTGTTGCTACACCTATTATACCTAAAGTTTATAGCGTTGCTTCTAATGTGTTGATAAACACTGTAATATGGTTATACAACATTATTTACACGAAAGTGAGTTACTAGTACTTCTGACTTGTAAGTACTACGACTGCTAACAAATGGCAAACTATAGTGAAAAAATATTGTCCATCTTTTTCGAGTATTTTCGTCTATTCGAACTAAAGACAGATACACACGTTTGATGGCAGTCTCTTTTTGATTTTTCATTTTAAACTACTTTTTTTTCGTTAATTTTGACTTCTTTTAGTATCCCTGGGAAGGTTCACAAACTTTAGTGCATGTTGCTGTTTCGAAAAAGCTCGAAAAGGTAACTGGGAAGCATTTTTGGGACTGTAGACCTTTCATTAAGCCGCTGGGAGCAAATAATAAAAAATTTTGTGGCGAAATTTGGAAAGCAACGGAAGAGATTCTTAATCTGAAGCCGGAAGAAGGACTCTGAAATGTTGTACAGTTTTGTAGTTGTTGGAAAGTCTGTTAAAATGTTCTGCGTTTTTAATAAAATACGTTATTTAAATCCTCCCTATCTAATTTGGTGGTCTATTATTCTATAGTAACAAGCTAAAATTGGTAATTTTAAATCGTAAACGTTTGGTGTTACTTTTGGAGTCCTAGAGGGGTCACATTGTGGGCAGATTCTATTTTTATTTTTTGTTAATGATTTACAATCTGACCTAGATAATATGTATAAACAATGTTTGTAATACCCGTACTTCTAAAATCTTCAAAATTCCTTTGCCAACAGCAAATTTATCAGTAATAATCCAGTTAGAAGATTTATGGAATTAGGAAATAAATTTACCTCCTTTAATGTAGAATCAAAACCTTTATTTAGAAAATTTTGCCTGATTTAGAAGTATACAAGGTTAAGTTCTAAGGGCGCCAGCAAGTTGTTAAATATTGATTATTACTCATCTGTTAGCAGCCAGAATTACCAAAGAATTATTATTATTTTATAAAATTAAAAACGAATTTATTATTGTAAATTTTGGAGATTTTTTGTATTATTTTTTAAATATTTTTAGTCAAGTGAAAAAGCTTTCAGTGATCGAAAAACTGAATAATAGAAGAATCAAAAAATTTAAAAACCGAAAAATTGAAAAAACCAGAAACTAAAAGGTTGCCAGGACTGACAATGTTGAAAAAATAGAGAAATCGAAAACTTGAAAAACGTAGAATATCGAATAATCTTATAAATCGAAAACTATGATGTCAAGAAATTGAAAAATCGGCTAATTGCAAATTGAAACATCGAAAAATTGAAAAATCGAAACATCGAAAAATTTGACAATCGAAAAATCGAAATATCGAAATATAGAAAAATTCAGAAACTGAGACATCGAGAAATCAAAAAATCAGATCGAGAAATCGAGAAGTCGAAAAATCGAGAAGTTCAAAAATTGAAAAATTGAGAAAGTGAAATGGGTCAAAATCGAAAAATCGAAAAGTTAAGAATTGAAAAATTGATAAATCGAGAAATCAACTAATTGAAAAATCGAAAAATTTTAAAAATAAAAAATTGAAAAATCGGAAATTAAAAATTCGAAAAATGAAAAATTGAAATATAGAGAAATCGACAAATCTAAAATTTATAAATCTGCACAATTAAAATAGCAAAAAATTGAAAAAAAAATAAATCTAGAAACCGAAAAGTGGAATATAGATAATAAAATATCGAAAAATTTTAAAACCAAAAAATCGAGATATCGGAACGCCAATGTTTAAAAAATTGAAAATCAAAATCGAAACATCGAAAAACTGGAAAATCGAAAAATCGAAATATAGAAAAATTTAAAAACTGAGACATCGAGAAATCGAAAAATTAGAAAATCGAGAAATTGAAAAATCCAAATTCGAGAAATCCAAAAATCGAAAAATTAAAAATTGTTAAATCGAAAAATTGAACGATCAAAACTTTAAACATCCTAATTTGAATAAATCGAGAAATCAAAAAATTGAAAAATCCAGCTATTTTAAAAATGAAAAATTGAAAAATCGGCAATTTATAGATTCGAAAAATGAAAAATTGAAATATGGAAGAACAGAAAACTAGAGAAATCGACGAATCTAAAATCTTAATAGCTGAATAATTAAAACATCGAAAAATTGAGAAAGCAAAAAATGAAAAAATAAAAAATCCAAAAAAATCTAGAAATCGAAAAATCCAAAGGCGAAAAGTCGAAGAATCGAAAAATGCCAAAACTGACATTGAAAAATTGACAAATAGAAGAAAAATAGAAAAATCCCAAGACTAAATGAAATATCCAAAAATTGATAAATTAAAAAATTGAAAAATCGAAAAATTGAAGAATTGAAGAACTGAAAAATCGAAAAGTCGAGAACTCCAAAAATCGAAAAACTGAGAAAGTGAAAAAGGTCAAATCGAAAAATCGCATAATTAAAATTTGAAAAAAGAAGAATTGGAAAATGGAAAATTAAAAAAAGGGAAAAATGAAAATTGAAATACAGAAGAGCTGCAAACTCGAGAAATCGACAAATCTAAAATTTTAAAAGCTGAAAAATTAAATTGAATGCTTAAAAATTTGAGAAATCGAAATATGAAGTAATTGAAAAATGAAAACTCTGAATTTTAAAAAATGAAAAATTGAATATCAAAAAAAATTTCGAAATCGAAAAATCCAGAAGTTGAAAAATCGAAAAGGCGAAGAATCGAATTAGTGATAAATTCCAAAACAGAAATATTGAAAAATTGAAAAATCTGAAGACTGAAAGAATTACCTAAAAATTGGGAAATTAAAAAATTGAAAAATCCGAAAAATAAAAAAACAGAGTCGAAAAATCGGAAATTTTAAAAATCGAAAATTGAAAAATCAAAAGCCTGAAAAGTCGAAAAATTGAAGAATTCAATAACTGAAAAATCGGAAAGTCGAAAAACTGTGCAAGCGAAATTGGTCAAAGTCGAAAAATCGAAAAGTTAAAAATTGAAAATTTTTTAAACGGAGAAAATGTACAATCTAAACATCCAAATTTGAATAAATCGAGAAATCAAAAAATTGAAAAATCGAAAAATTTAAAAAAAGAAAAATTAAAAAATTCGAAAATAAAAAATTGAAATATAGAAGAACTGAAAACTCTAGAAATCGGCAAATCTAAAATTTTAAAACCTGAAAAATTAAAATATCGAAATTGAGAAAACAATATGAAACAACCGAAAAAATGAAAAATGTAAAGTTTAGAAAACGAAAAACTGAAAATCCAAAAAAAAATTTTGAAATCGAAAAATCAAAAAAGCAAATTGGAAAAATCGAAAAACTGAAAAATCAAGAATCGAAACTTTGGAAAGTCAAAAAAAGAAGATCATAACGTATCCAAAAAATGCAAAAAACTACATGTTTGTTAATTTGAAAAATTTTGTTTAATGCCAAAATGTTCACGTATTCGTTGTAAAGTCCCACCAAGCAATTCTTTCCCGCAGCGATTATGGTCGAAACCGGTTTCTTTGCAGCGAGGTGTATCAGATTAGTCAAACTGCTTTCAAACGCTTAAGAGTCCATATTGGCCCGAGGGTTCTCGGGTCTGTAGATCAAACAAGTATGCAACACACTATACACATTTACTGATTCTTGTGTAAAATTAAAATGCAGAGGGGATGAAAGTTCTATCTACATAACATTAGAGTAATTTTCCATAATTATCTATTTACATTATTTATTATTTTAAAATGAATTATTTAATATTCTCCCAGTGCTTGCAATTAAAGATCAACAACTACTTAGAACTTGAAAACCTTGGGCATCTGTACCTATGCACTTTTACAGTGCATTTGCTAGAAATTATACTTGATGAAAGCTGTTACTAGACATTATACATATTTACAAACTTGTTTACATATTTGTTCTAAACTTTTCGCATCCGAATCATGGCCATGACACGACTTCCGTTGTTTTTCCGGTGCGACTAGACGTTGCACATAACTTTGCAATATTATTTTTTTTTTGAGGAAGTTCCCTAAAGATTTAAAAACTTGCATTGAAATAGACCGGTTTCAGTGAACACCTGTTGATAAAAAACAAGGTCATGGTAATTTTTTTTTAACTTGCATTTAGTTTGCTTTTAAATTTGACTTAGACGTGTGTAGACCGTCGTAAGAACACCATGTTTGGGTTAATATTCCTGACTCTGGCAATAAGCTTATACATTTATATGCGTCTATCCCGCGGTATCACCAGAAGTGCGTCATGTCTTGTAGGCAAAACTGCCATCGTTACGGGCGCTAATTCTGGTAAGCTGAACTTCATGTAATTTCGTTTAATAATAAATGCGATTAAGGGATTGGTTATCAAACTGTTCTGAATTTGGCTTCAAGAGGGTGCAGGGTGATTATGGCTGACGTAGCTGACATGACACAGTCAAAAGAAAAAATCATCGAGTACACCAACAACCCCAACATCGTGACTAAATTCGTGGATCTGGCGTCTCTACAATCAGTCAGAGATTTTGCTTCTGACATTGTAAAAAGCGAGGAAAAATTGGACATTTTGATTAACAACGCTGGAATTAGTATATCCAAAGAAAACAGGACCAAAGATGGCCTTCACCCAGTCATGCAAATCAACTATTTCGGACCTTTTCTGCTAACCCATTTGCTTTTAGGTGGTAACCAGTTGATCTGAAAAATACAAAGTTGATTTTTATTTTTATTTTATTTTAAGATTTGTTGAAGAAATCAGCTCCAAGTAGAATAGTTAGCACGAGCTCTTCGTTCGCTTTTTTGAATACTTTGTCTGTGAAGAATTTAAATTTCAATGACAAACGTGGTCTATTTATTGAAAGATTTCATAGTTACGCAAATTCAAAACTCGCTCTAATAATAGCTTCTGATATTTTGGCCGAGAAATTAAAAGGAACCGGTGTTACATGTAACACGATTCATCCAGGTTTCGTTGCTACTCCCATCATGCCAAAACTCTATTCTCTTACAGAAAATATATTTTTGAACAGCATTACGCGGTTGTACTGGATATTTTACGCGAAAGTCAGTAATGTCGTTTTTGAGTTGACTTTAACTGCTAATTTTGATTTATTGCAGAATCCATGGGAAGGTTCGCAAACTTTAGTGCACGTTGCTGTTTCGAAAAAGCTCGAAAAAGTGACTGGGAAGTATTTTTGGGACTGTAAGCCTTTTTTTAAACCGCCAGCAGCCAATAATAAACAATTTTGTAAGGAGATTTGGAAGGCCACGGAGGAGCTTGTTAATTTGAAGCCCGAAGAAAAACTTTAGTGGTGTTATTCTTATCATGTAACTGTATTTGTTTATTTTGTTGATAAGACTATTAGTCACAAATATAAATACATTTTTTTATTTCTGTGATTAAAAAATCGAGGTCTTGCAGACAGTTAAATAAAGATAAGCAAATCGTCTATACTTTGTATGCACGTCGACTGTTTAACGATAACCATGTTGTGGTTAACATTTGCCATACTGGCTTTAATTTTATACATTTTTATGCGTCTATCCTGTGGTGTTACCAGAAGTGTGTAACACTTGCAAACCATCGCGTTTATTAGAGGCAACCGACGCATTTTTCTGATGGGAACTTTTCCAGAAAACGGAGATGTCATTTCTGTTGAATAATGGTTTATTACTCCGTCCAATCTTACTACCCAAAATTCCGAAATTACCCCGCAATATCCGTCCGTACCCAAGTTCCCAAAAATCCCCATAGACCGAGCACGTTTTCGGTTTGATGCACTTTATACAATGGGCCCCAGCAATAACGTGGAAACCCATCGTTTAGAGTTGTAAAATTGAAACGTTCTTGATCGAAGCCATTAAGCACCAGATATGTCAGTCTTTGACGCGGAACTTATTCGTAGAGATAGATGATTTTCCTCGATTGTAGATATGGTAATGGTAAATAGTAATAGGGTTTTTTTTGAGAAAACAGCTTTAGTTTCGGCCGGACAGATTGTCTCGCTTCCGGATTTGTAGAGGCGTGTTTTGCATTGCCGCCTCGAGCATGGGCCGAAGAAATCGGCCAGCAAATTCCGAAGTGGGATAATTTTTATTAGGGTTCGAGATAGGAAATTCTCACCGTTTACAATGGGCGAAGAGTACATCTGTAACTTGTGTTTGTGTTGTAAGCCGATTGTACGGGAAGGATATTTCTATGAATTGGACGAATTTGCCGACAGACCACCCGCTCAAAGTCCTTGCTCGCTTTTTAGGTCAAAGCTGTGGGAAAAAGCCCCCTGCGCGAAACCGCCCCCGAACGGAGGTGGTTGGCTAAGAAGTACCCCCTCTAATCAGGAAGGTACGACTTGGCTTCAAAATTTTGTCCAAAAATTTAGTTACTGTTTCGGTTCTGAAGTGGTCGGTCGGGAACTTCTCCTGCGGGTTGATCTTTGTGTTTTTGTGTAGGTTTGTGTTAAATTGTCAGCTTTTAATTTAAATTCAGTTTGTGTTCATAGTTAAGGTTGTCTTTGTTTTTGTGTTTTGTTTTAATAATTTTTCAAACGTGTGCGATTAATAAAGGAGGCTGGTCGAAACTACTCTGTAGTTTTCTTCCTTTTTTTTGACAACCCCTCTTTGCGGTTCGCGACTTCAACAGTGAATTATGTGACCTGGTGTCGACGCCGCCATCAAAAAGGTAAGAGCAATCATTTTGTTTATTCTCACACTAATATTGTTGGGACCCACACCGGTCTGGCTAGACCGGGTTACAAGTGCATCATGTCTTATGGGTAAAACTGCCATTGTTACTGGGGCCAATTCAGGTAGGTAAGCCAATTGTCAATGATTCCATTTAATGATAATTTTGATTAAGGAATTGGTTATCAAACTGTTCTGAATTTGGCTTCACGAGGGTGTAGGGTGATTATGGCCGATGTAGCTGATATGACGAAGTCAAAAGCAAAAGTCATAGAATACACGAATAATCCAAACATCGTGACGAAATTTTTAGACCTGGCGTCTTTACAGTCAGTGCGAGATTTTGCCTCCGACGTCATCAAAAGTGAAGACAGACTGGACATGTTGATTAACAACGCTGGAATTTTTATAACCAAAGAGAACAGAACCAACGATGGTCTTCACCCAGTCATGCAGATCAACTACTTTGGTCCATTTCTGCTAATTCATTTGCTTATAGGTAGTAGACAATTTATTAAGGTGAAATTTGGATTCTAAATTTTTTCAGATTTGTTGAAGAAAACAGCCCCGAGTAGGATAGTGAGCACGAGCTCTTCAGTAGCCTTTTTCAACAATTTATCTATAGATAATTTAAATTTCAACGACAAATCTGGTCGATTCATTGATAGATTTCGTGGTTATGGAAATTCTAAATTTGCTCTAATAATAGCGTCTGATATTATTGCCGAGAGGTTAAAAGGAACCGGGGTTACATGTAACACGATTCATCCAGGATACGTTGCTACTCCCATAATGCCTAAACTGTATTCAGTTACAGAAAATATATTTTTGAACACCCTTATACGCTGGTACTGGATGATTTACACGAAGGTGAAATTTTTTGATTTTTGATTTACACCACTGTTTTTTTTTTTTGGTCATTCTGTATATTTGTAGTGTCCATGGGAAGGTTCACAAACTTTAGTGCACGTTGCCCTTTCGAAAAAGCTCGAAAAGGTAATTGGGAAGTATTTTTGGGATTGTAAACCGTTCATCAAACCATGGGGAGCAAATAATAAACGGTTTTGTAACCAGATTTGGCAAGCAACGGAACAGATTGTTAGTTTGAAACCCGAAGAAAAACTCTGAACTGGTCGTATTTTTATTTTTTCTGTTAATGTTTACGCATTCTGTATTATAAAAGTGTAATCGGTTTCAAGTTCAGGTTCGTGATAATTGATTTATTTATAGTTGTTGCAAAATGTGCGTAAAATAAAAGCTGTTTCTGCGTGATTGACATTCAACATTTATTGATAATTAAAATGTGCATATAAAATAAGTTGAGTTGTTATCGTAACTTTAGTAATTTTCTTCAGTGACTAGGAAAAAAGGGACTATAAAAATATTTCTTGAAACTAGTACAAAACCAGAAAGAAGAAGAAAAACTTGTTCGAAAATATATTATATGGTTGGTTTTTTGCTTCATTTAGAAATAATAAATCTTCCATCAAGAACAAAAAAAATGTTGGTAGCAGTTTTTGGAGAAAACAGTGTCCAAGTTTAAAATATACAAAATAAAGTATAAGTTAATGCAAACAATGCAACATTTGCTATACTTGCGCCGGTTTCTATTAATATTCATTTACCGAACCGCAAAAACTGTGTTGTTAATGTTTACTGATAAGGATAACTTTGTGTTTGTGTCATTGTTGAATAACATTGTCTGAAGATTAGTTTGATTTATCTATTTAAATGATGATGGGTACGATGATTTGATAATGGTATTCAGTACTACAATGAACGTTGATATGTCGATACAGTCGTTAAAAAACATGACATTTCCACACTCGTTTAGGTGTTAAAAAATACAAATAAAAAAAAGTGCATTATCGATAGGCTTTAATTCATGAAATTGTTTCTTATTTCGTTCGTAAATGTTCAATTATAATAAGTGTATTTATTCGAGTATATGCAACCAAATATACATTTGACAGATGGCTAATTTGAAGTCACGGCAAAAATTCAAATTTTTTAGGTAATTGTTTTGGAAAGTGTAATATAAACCTGAATTTATATTCAGAATATCATGATTCCTGATAATTCAGTGAAACTTCGCTGCAATTTCAGCACCTGTGCAATTACAATCTAATCATAAATTTTCATAAAAAAGAATAATAAAATCACACTACTATTATAATTCGTTTACTGAAGTTTTGTAAAATTGTGTTGTTTCTTTTTAAAATGTGTTAGCAGTTTAAAGAATTTTCTTCCATTATTTCACATAAACAAACATATAATTTATGGTTTCGTTTTGATTGTAGTCTGTCAATTTTGGGTTTTGATTAGGAAGAATGGAATGACATAAAATGTGTAATTGGGTGCACAATTTAATTTGTGTCTTCTAATTTTTAAAGATTTCGATCATCGATACAATATTGTAACCATTTCTTCAGTTAAATAACTATTACAGAATTTTCTCATTCGAGGTAAAGACACATTTCTAAATATACTGTAAATTTAGAGAAGTCAGGAAAGCTCATAGCTTTGTTTAAATTTAGTGTTTTCTACAACTGAATTTCAATTGAAATTTTGCGTCATGTTGTAATTGTAGATAGAATTATTGTTTGATTTATTTTTTTTAAATAATAACTTATAATTAATTACGTTGCTCATACTAGAATTAACAATATAAAATGTTTCGACAAAATGTTCAACTCACTTAAGAACTATTTCAAAGCACTAAAAATTCCCTTATAAATAATGACACTTTTGTAATTTTTTTTTCCAAGTTCTTTAATTTTCGAAAATGTTTTGGAAATATGTACGAATTGCGATATATAGAAACTAGTCACAGTGTAAGAGAAAAAAGGAAAGTTTTACCTGCTTAAAAAAGACAGTTGTGGTCCCCGAGAAGGTTTCACATTCTTTAAAAAGTAAGACAGTTGGGGCACCCTGAAAGGGTACACCTTCCGTAAAAAACACAGTTGGGACCCCCCAGATGGTTATATATTCTACAAAAAAATCAATTGGAACTCCCGAGAAGGATTCAAATGCTTAGGAAAAAAAATGGGACATCCGATGAAGTTTCACTTTCTGAAAGAAGCAGGCAGTTAGGATCGCTGAGAAGGTTTCACCTTTTTAAAAAAAAGCCAGTTGGAGCCCCCGAGAAGGCTTGACTTTCTGCAAAAAAAGACAGTTGGGACCCCCAACAAGGTTTCACCATTAAAAAAAAGACATTTGGGTACCCTGAGAAGATTTCAGATTCATAAAAAAGCCGTTGAGGCCCTCGAGAAGGTTTAACATTCTCAAAAAAAAAACAGTTGGGGCCCTGGAGAAGATTTCATGTTCTTAAAAAAACATTTGGGGCCCTCGAGAAGGTTTTTACATTCTTCAAAAAAAAAAAAACAGTTGAAACCTTCTTAACAAAAGGACAAATTGGGGCCCCCAAGAAGGTTCACCTTCTTTAAGAAAAAAACAGTTGGGACCTCCGAGAAGGTTCACCTTCTTCAATAAAAAGACAAGTGGAATCCCCGGGTAGGTTTTACCTTAAAAAAAGACAGTTGGGGCCCCTGGGAAGATTTTACATTCTTAAAAAAATCAGTTGGGGCTCTTGAGAAGGTTTCACATTCATAAAAAAAACAGTAGGGAACCTGGAGAAGATTCACCTTCTTTAAGCAAAACACAGTTGGGGCCCCTGAGAAAGTTCATTTTCTTTAAGAAAAAGACAGTTGGGACCCTCGAGAAGGTTTTACCTTTAAAAAAAAAGTTAGTTGGGGCCGCCGAGAAGATTATAGATTGTTAAAAAAAACTGTTGGGATCCTCGAGAAGGGTTCACATTCTTTAGAAAAACGCAGTTGAGGTTCCCGAGAAAGTTCACCTTCTTTACGAAAAACACGGTTGGGATCCTCGAGAAGGTTCACCTTCTTCAATAAAAAGACAACCGGAATCCCCGAGAAGGTTTTACCTTAAAAAAAGACAGTTGTGGCCCTCGACAAGGTTCGCCCTTTTTAAGAAAACATAGTTGGGGTTCCCGAGAAGGTTCACGTTCTTAAAAAAAGCAGTTGGGGCCACAGAAAAGGTTTTACATTCTAAAAAAAACAGTTGAGGCCTTGGAGAAGATTCACCATCTTTAAAAAAAAGACAGTTGCGGCCCTCGAGAAGGTTTTACCTTAAAAAAAAAGTCAGTTGGGGCCTCCGGGAAGATTTCGCATTCTTAAAAAAATCAGTTGGGGCTCTTGAGAAAGTTTCATTTTAATAAAAAAAACAGTAGGGAACCTGGAGAGCATTCACCTTTTTTAAGAAAAACACAGTCGGGGCCCCCCAGAAGGTTCACTTTCTTTAAGAAAAAGACAGTCGAGACCCCCGAGAAGGTTCACCTTCGTTAAGAAAAACACATTTGATGCCCCCCAGAAGGTTCATCTTCTTTAAGAAAAACACAGTTGTGGCCCCCGACAAGGTCCACCCTTTTTAAGAAAATATAGGTGGGGTTCCCGAGAAGGTTCACCTTTTTAAAAAAAGCAGTTGAGGCCACATAAAAGGTTTCACATTCTAAAAAAAACAGTTGAAGCCTTGGAGAAGATTCACCTTCTTTAAGAAAAGGACAGTTAGGACCCCCGAGAAGGTTTTACCTTTTAAAAAAAAATCAGTTGGGGCACCCTAGAAGATTTCAGATTGTTAAAAAAACAGTTGGGGTCCTCGAGAAGGTGAACATTCTTTAAGAAAAACAAAGTTGGGGTCCCCGAGAAGGTTCAACTTCTTTAAGAACAACACAGTTGGGACCCCCGAGAAGATTCACTTTCTTCAATAAAAAGACAACTGGAATTCCCGAGAAGGTTTTACCTTAAAAAAAGACAGTTGGGGCCCCCGAGATGGTTCACTTTCTTTAAGAAAGAGACAGTTGAGACCTCCGAGAAGGTTCACCTTCATTAAGAAAAACTCATTTTTGGCCCCCTAGGAGGTTTACCTTTTTCAAGAAAAAGACAGTTGAGACCCCCGAGAAGGTTTCACCTTTTTTAAGAAAAACACAGTTGGGGCCCCCGAGAGGGTTTACATTCTTCAATAAAAAGACAATTGGGATCCCCGAGAAGGTTTTACCTTAAAAAAAAATCAATTGAGACCTCCTGGAAGGTTTCACATTCTTAAAAAAAACAATAAGAGACCGAGAGAAGATTCACCTTCTATAAGAAAAACACAGTTGGGGCCCCCGAGAAGATGCACCTTCTTTGAGAAAAACATAGTTGTGACCCCCGACAAGGTTCATCTTCTTTAAGAAAAACACAGTTGGGGCCCCCGAGAAGGTTCACTTTCTTTAAGAAGAAGACAGTTGAGACCCCCGAGAAGGTTTACCCTCGTTAAGAAAAGCACATTTGATGCCCCCGAGAAGGTTTATCTTCTTTAAGAAAAACACAGTTCAGGCCCCCGAGAAGGTTCATCTTTTTTAAGAAAAACACATTTGGGGCCCCCGAGAAGGTTCATCTTCTTTAAGAAAAACACAGTTGGGGCCCCCGGCAAGTTTCACCCTTTTTAAGAAAACATATTTGGGGTTTCCGAGAAGGTTCACCTTCTTAAAAAAAAACAGTTGGGGTCACAGAAAAAGTTTCACATTCTTAAAAAAACTGTTGAAGCCTTGGAGAAGATTCACCTTCTTTAAGAAAAAGACAGCTGAGACCCCCGAGAAGGTTTTACCTTTTAAAAAAAAGTCAGTTGGGGCCCCCTAGAAGATTTCGGATTGTTAAAAAAAAGCAGTTGGTGCCCTCGAGAAGGTTTCACATTCTTTAAGAAAAACACAGTTGGGGTCCCCGAGAAGGTTCACATTCTTCAATAAAATGACAATTGGGATCCCCCAGAAGGTTTTATCTTTAAAAACAGTTGGGGTCCCCTGGAAGATTTCACGTTCTTAAAAAGAACAGTAAGGGACCTGAAGAAGATTCACCTTTTTTAAGAAAAACACTGTTGAGGTCCACGAGAAGGTTTACCTTTTTTAAGAAAAAGACAGTTGGGACACCCGAAAAGGTTTCACCTTTAAAAAAAAAGTCAATTGGGGCGGCCGAGAAGATTTCAGATTGTTAAAAAAGCAGTTGGGTCCCTTGAGAAGGTTTCACATTCTTAAAAAAAAAAACAGTTGGGAGCGTGGAGAAAATTCACCTTCT